GTCAGCTGTCAGTTTTGAAGAAACCTAGAGAAAGCTATATCAGCTAGTGAATCATAATCATTGGCCTCAGAAGGAATTCAAACCCTCATTAATTGGGTTTCCAATTTAAAAATTTAGGGCCAAAAAAGATATTAGCATTATAGAGGTACAATTTTTTAAACAGGGGGGGTCTGAATAATTTTGGAAAAATTTAGCATTATAGAGGTCCCCTTTACTAATCGTGATCCAACATTACAAGGGTGTTGCACAAGAAATCAGCAAGAGTGCCACACCCAAGAGTGTCCCACAAGATTGTCAGGCAAAAGTATCGCACAAACGTGTCCTAGAAGAGTGTCAGCCGAGAAGGCCGTCAAGCATTGTCAAATAACGTTCGGTCGTTTGTGTTTGCACACGTTTGTGCATTCGGGTTTGCGGGCTTCCATCAGGCTTTGTTCTGGAGAGCCTGATGAAAGTTTCTTTGCCAAGGCTTTGCTATCCCAAATGCTCAGACCTCACGAACGGCCAGTCCCCTTACCGGGCCCGGATGCCAAGACGCTTCGCAAATGCCCGAAGGCATTACCTAAAATGATCTAAATTGATCTAAAATCTAAATTGCTGGTCCTCCCTTCGGCTGGTTCAGGGTAATTCAAAAGTTCCTTCCAAGCTAATTCATCCATTGGAATTCTTGGCATTTTAAGGAAAAGGAGAACCTTTCACAGTTGGGTGTAGAGTCGTTACTGGACAATACACTCACTAGTTGCTTTGCTTCTTGGCCGCAGCCTGGTTGTGGCATTGCTATGCAATGCTATGTGACTATTTTGCGCAATGTCTATGGCTGCGGCTTCAGCTGAAGGACTAAAGTCTACTGTGTGTCGCCTGTGAATAAGCTTTCTGGCAGTGGCTTGGTTTGTCAGCTCAGTGGCATGGTGATTCAGTTTCAATGTCGCTCAGTGGTTCATAGAGGATTTGTCCTTTTTCCCTGGGAGGCGGCCATATGGACAAAAGTCGTCGATCCAAGATAAGAAAGTTAATGTATATAATATATATATATATGCGAATTCATCATGCAAAAAGGAAAGCACCACAAGCAAACTTTATAGCGGACAATGGTTGTCACGGCGACCTCTCTGAGTACAGCAAGTCGATGTAAAAGCTCAGAACAGAGTCGGGAACAAGAAGCTACTAGGAGCAAAGGGCATCGCTACTAGGAGCAAGGACGCTACTAGGGCCTCCTCGCATCGCTACTAGGAACAAGAAACTACATACTAGGAAGCTCCTCTGCGGTTCCAATGACGAGGGCACACCTTGCAGGTTGTAAGGTGCGATACTACCGACGTGAGCACACTGCTCCACACTACCGACGTGCGGGTGCTCCGCGGGTTCGATGTTTCGAGGGTGTGAAAAGGTGCGGAGCCACGTGGGCGGAGAGTCATTTCGGCTCCACTCCAAGTGAAGGTTGTGCTGTACTTGTACTTAGGAACTACTTGAGGGCCCTTTATCCATTAAGTCAATCAATCTAAGTCTTTGACTTCAGCCAGATCAGCACGCCACGCATTGTGTCTAAGGTTGGTTCCTTCCAATGCTGCCACGGTAGCGCACTAGACTGTCTGCATGGTTTCTTGGCGCTTTAACCAGAAAGTCCGTTGATAAATCTCGATCCATTGATACAACCTTTTCACTGTTCACGTGAACTGCATGGGACGGCTAAAAAACACCCATGGACCAATGTCTCACCTGGCAGAAGATTGTAGAGCACTTCTGGTCCAATGCGGACATAGTTGAACGAGCCAAAGACAAAGGTTGTGCTTCTTGGTAGTTCATCCTTTTCCATCCTTTTTCAAATTCTCGTCACTTGAGGTAAAGGGACCATTTCTTCGACACCAAATTATGGGACCTCGGAGATTCCCGCTGCAAAGGAGCTGCAAACAATGTTGAGAATAGCAGGTCATTTCTCAGAAATAGAATCCACTGGTTAGATATTGTTAGTTACCTGTTACCTTTCAGACTCCTATTCTTGGGCAGCCTTGAGCTTGTCCTTTTCAGACCATTGTTTTGCGGCATTGCTATTAGGTTGGAGGCCATCGCTCTTAGGTTGGAGGCCATCGCTATTACCATTGCTTTGCGGGCATTTTGCCCATTTCTGCGATGCCACGGGCCACGGCTGCGTTCAGGACCATGGGCGGTATGATGCCCAGAGAGTCTCGGATGCTGGACAAATTGACAGCATTCTCACAATGACAGGTTGCTTTACCTTTTGATCATTTTTGATCAGCTTCCCCCTATTCCAAGTAATCCTTTCACTTAAGTGAATCAGTATTCCAAATATTCCAATCACTCCTTGGCTGCTCGGGCTTGGTGTTTGGATGTGTTTGGTTCCTGAATTTAGGTCTTACAAAGCGCTAAACATTATCGATGCCAAATGCGTGGGGCTTGGAGAAAGCAGAGTAGTCAACACTTGGCTCTGGCCAGCAGGATGTTCAATATACGTGATTGTTCCTTCCTTTGTCCCCAAACAGTTTACTGTTGGGGTTCTCAATTCTTTCTTAAGATGTGTCCGCCCTTTGTGTCACTGCTGGTGTCCGCCCTTTTCCGCTGGCCATATAGCATTTCTATTCATTTGTCTCCCACCAGGT